CCTTGGGCCCCTGCATCCACGTGGGAGAACCAGAAGAAGCTCCTGGCTCCTGGCTTCGGATCAGTGCAGCTCTGGCCATTGCAGCCAATTAGCCAACAGATGGAAGACCTCTCTCTCTCTCTCTCTCTCTCTCTCTCTCTCTCTCTCCTTCTCTCTCTACGTAACACTGACTTTCAAATAAACAAATAAAATCTTTAAAAAAAGAAAGTTAACAATGATGGGTGCTTTCCACGAATGAGACTGGCAACCACTAAATACACAGAGGGAAACAAGGAAGATCCAGCACACACAACAATGTGTTGTAAGGAGCTTGCCTGCCGTTAGTGGGATGACAACTTACTGCAGCTGGGGGAAATTCACGTGATGACATCTGTCTGGATTCGTAGATCAGAGACTCCACCTGTAGAACTGTGTTTACCCAGGAATCGTTTGTGGTGGTGATGACAGACCAAGTTGAAAATAACCACCAGCTGGGCCAGCGCCGCGGCTCAGTAGGCTAATCCTCCGCCTTGCTGCGCCGGCACACTGGGTTCTAGTCCCGGTCGGGGTGCCGGATTCTGTCCCCGTTGCCCCTCTTCCAGGCCAGCTCTCTGCTGTGGCCAGGGAAGGCAGTGGAGGATGGCCCAAGTCCTTGGGCCCTGCACCCCATGGGAGACCAGGAGAAGTACCTGGCTCCTGCCATCGGATCAGCGTGGTGCGCCGGCCACAGCGCGCCAGCCATGGCGGCCATTGGAGGGTGAACCAACGGCAAAGGAAGACCTTTCTCTCTGTCTCTCTCTCACTGTCCACTCTGCCTGTCATATATATATATATATATAACCACAAGCCCTCAGACGTGTAATGAATGGATAATCAGAGCCTACGCACACTACAAGATGTTATGCAGCTACTGTGTTAGATATGCATCTCTTTAGCTGGAGGAATTCTGGAAGTGCTCCGAGCTTAAAAAAAATAAATGAGAAGGGACCAGTGTCATGGCATAGTGGGTTAATCTGCCTGCAGTGCTGGCATCCCATGTGGACACCAGTTCCATTCCTGGCTGCTCCACTCTGATCCAGCTCTCTGCTATGGCCTGGGAAAGCAGTAGAAGATGGCCCAAGTCCTTGGGCCCCTGCACCCATGTGGGAGACCCGGGCTTCATTTGGGAAGTGAGCAAGCAGATGGAAGATTCTCTCTCTCTCTCTCTCTCTCTCTCTCTCTCTCTCTCCCTCCCTCCCTCTCTGTCTGTAACACTGCCTCTCAAATGAATAAATAAATCTTTATAAAAATAAATAAGCAGTAAGCAACTTTTACAGACACATACACAGTGTAGTCTCAGGTATGAAGGAAGACTTGAAGGAAAACACCAGGACGCCCCCTGCTGTTGATGTGAGTTACCTGGGAAAATCTATGGGTGAATTACCTGAAGGGAGGGGCCTGCTCCGATAAAAGGATAATTAAAAAGGAAAAAAAGTAGCAGCCAGTTTTTTAAAAATACATAGCACGAAGCTCACTGCAAGTGTCAGCTATCCGGGCTGTCTTTGCTGCACTGGGTTTGACAGATAATGGCATTTTTCACACTAGCAGGGAGCTAGATTGGAAGCAGAGCAGGCAGGACTGGAACAGGCACTCTGATACGGAATGGCAGCCAGCATTGTAGGCAGTGGCTTAACCCACTGTGCCACAACACCAACCCGGTGCCCCAAAAATTCTATGATATTGCCCTGAATATAGTATGCAGTTAAGCTGCCACCTAGAACATTCACATCCCATATTGAAGTAGCTGATTCAAGTCTCAGCTACTTCCCTTCCAATCCAGTCTCCTGCTCATGTGCACTGTGGGAGGCAGCAGGTGAGGGGTCAAGTGATTGGGTCCCTGCCACCCACATAGGAGACCTGGATGGAGCTCCTGGCTCCTGGCTTCAGCCTGGCCCAGCCCTGCTGCTGTGACCATTTGGGTAGTAAACCAGCAGGTGGAAGACTCTCTCTCTCTCTCTCTCTCTGCCTTTCAAATAAATAAACAAATCTTTTTTAAAAAAATAGGAAAATACATATGATGAGAAAAAAAACTGCATGGATCGCAAACATGTTTGAAATGAAATCCCCTTAGATTTCATGGCCAATTCCGTGACTTTCTCAAAGCACCACTGTGCAATCTCTTCTCTCATGGAGTTTCCATCACGATGAGATAAAGCAGAGGACAGCTTAGATTCGGGCTTCAGCGCCTGGGACTCCACGCCACCTTGCTTGGGCAGCACGCTGGGGCCCAGTCTGCGCAGGGAGGGGACCCAGGGGAGAGGTCCTAATGAGAGTGAATCTCCAACTCCTTATGTCCCCAAGTGCATGCACACCCTAGGGAGTGAGTCACAGTAGAAACGGAATAATTAGAATCTTCCTCCTTAACAAGGAGCCATGGGGATGGAGCCCCCAAGAGCCCCTGAAGTATAAACCTCCTGCTGTTCTCCAGCCCCCCACTCACCTGCCCCAGGCTGGATCTGGGGTGGGGGAGAGGGAAGGAGGGACACCAGGCTCACTCCAGCTGTCATAGTGAGTGGTTGTCATTCCTTCTTGGGGCTTAGCACTGACCTCAGGTTGCTCAGATAACCAGCAGAGGAGGAGTTGCTAAAGCTAGCTCCTTGGTAACATCGTCCCGGTGAGCAGATGGGAGAGGGATGGAGATGGGGAAGGGGACGGGGCTGCAGGGGCCAGGGGGAGGAATCCTTGCCCTTCTTGGATGTGGGGGGAGAGAGAGAAGGAGAGGAGGGGAGCGGAGGGGAGGGGAGGGGAGAGGAGAGGAGAGGAGAGGAGGGGAGAGGAGAGGAGAGGAGGGGAGGGGAGGGGAGAGGAGAGGAGAGGAGAGGAGAGGAGAGGAGAGGAGAGGAGAGGAGGGACAAGAAGGAGAGGAGAGGAGAGGAGAGGAGAGGAA